TCTAATTTAAAGTAACAGAGGGTTTGTAATTAAAATGTTTCTTTTATAAAATGTAAATAATGGACTACTTTAGATATATATCTGTGTACATATTCAGCAATAACTTTATACCTTTAGTGAACCCTGGTTTCCTCAGGTCCTCTGTAGCTCCCTCCCACAGCTGACAGCAGATCTTTAACACTAGTAATACTTTATGTCTTTGCACTTTCTGACTCCGTTCTGTCTTTTGTCTGTGCGACAATGAAATGATACAGGATGCACAGTGTCTTCTTCTTGACATTGTCTAGAGCTGCCAGCTGGATGCTTTCCCGCTCATTTCAGTGTACTGTTTAGAGCTTTATGTCCAAATTCCTGTTACCAATTTGCATCTGTCTTTTGTTTCTTTGTCCCAGCAGTGCTGCCAACTGCCATTATTGTTTCCTGTTTTAGACTGTTTTTTATTTTTTGCTTGTTGGACCTCTCCTTCATTTCCTCTTCTCTATGTGTTGGTTCCCATAGGAACTGAACTGAAGTGCGTCTCCGTCTCTACAGTGTGTGCATCACACACAGTCGGTCTATGACACTGAGCAGATGATTATGGTCCTTAGATTCCTGGGATAGATGTCCTAGATTAATGGAGGTTTCTCTTCCGTCCTGAAACCCTTATTTTATTATATTCTCCTCTCTCTTTGCTCAGTCTTTTCCCCCTCGTTGTGTTATTAAACATTCCAAAGTCAACACGATTTAACTATTAACTTCCAACCAAAGTCGAACAACTCATTGTGGGTCCATCAGTGCATTTTTGGTCCCCAAAAATACTCCTGAATTTCTTGTCATTTCACATCTTATCCAGACAAACTCCAGCAGCCTCTACTTCCTAGAAAGACTGGAGGATTTCTTTCAGCTGGATGGCCCTCTGAATGTTTTCTGCCTCGTGTCTGGACTCGCCCCTGTGCTTGCGTCTTCTGTGTTATTGTTTTAAAGACTTAGCTGGCAAGTAAAGGTAATTTTTTAACGCTGAAATAATAAAGTGAGGTCACACAAGAGACACTGAATGAATACAGCTTATTTATTAAAGGAATTATCTGTCAGGTAGATGAACAGCACAGTTTCCCAACTTTAAAGCAACACATTAGTGCTCAAAAAAAGCCATATTATCAGTTAAAACGACACTAAATCTAAAAAAAAAGAAAAAAAAAAAAAGATAAATATTACAGTTTTAAACAAAAATTCACAGGCTGAAAACACAAACACTGGACAGAACAAACGATGGCAAACTTTCTGCACACCAACTCATAAATAAATAGTTTTCCTCATACACATGTTAAATTCTTCTTTGCAGCGAGCTGGCTGTTACAAGCGTTACACTGCATATTAAATATGTGGCATTCTATTAGTTTTCAGTGCAAACAAAACTAAACAGACAAAAAATAAACAACTGTTGACCAGAAGGTGAAGACTCTGTTGGAATGTCTTTTAATAGTGATGGGTTCTGCAGTAAAATGCGATGTGTTTCATAAAGACACTTAATGTAAACTCCATTAGCTGTTCTCGTAAAGCACTGTTAGGTTAGCGTGAGGTAAGCGTGTTCTGCGTATGTTTCAGCAGATCCTGCGTGGATCCAAGAAGTAGACAGACCGATCAATACACACTGCGTCCGTCTTCCACACATCCTGTCTCAGCGTTACGAACAGTGAAGCCCGATATTCCTTCAGCAGAAGTGAGATGCAGTGAGCGACTGTAACAACTGTAAAGCGACCCTTCTCTTGGTCCGAGCTCAGAGAGGCACATATTTATTCTCTCACGCAGGTCAAATCCAGTGGTTTTACTCTAGACAAGAAGATCAGTACAGTTTCAGAGTGACTGGTGTTAAATGGTGGATGCTGGCTCTGGACTAGCACGTCTGTAATAAATGCAAAAAAACAAAAAAACCCAAAACAACAAATCTGGTAAAAAAACATAAAAATAACTTCACTGCTTAACAAATGTAAACAAACCTTTTACATACATGTTAAACTTTTGTCAAACACACTCAGGCTTTGTATTTAAAAGTCCGTCAGTTCAATAATAAAAGGGCACAAATCTGTAATTGCTAAGATGAGCGTGTTTCTGCTAATATTTACCTAAAATCTCTCATTTGTAGCATCATGTGTTCACTCTGTGTAAGCCTGGCAGGGGGCTGGTAAAAGCAAACATCTCTAGAGGACACTTCGATTAATAATCCAATCCATTGTGTAAAATATTACAAGACATGGCATTCCATTTGCACTAATCATTTCTTGGAAGAGGCAATTCATTTGGAGGAAGCAGATATTAAAAAAATAAAACTCTGAAGCATTTTGCAGAGACAGGAGTAGTTTGAGAGGGTTTAGATGGTTTAGACACAAGTTGTACCTCGCTACAGCTGCTCTGTGTCAAATTACAATCTCTTACCAGCCTCTTTTCTAGCTTATAGCAGAGTGATACTCAGAACATATATCTAAAATAAAGAACTGGGCATTTTGAGGGGTGATGCTACAATTTATTTTTATTTTTTCCTAGTCTCTACATAGCTTATTTTAGTCAATCCCTGGTATCTTAATTATGTCACGGCATGCCGTAACATAAAAACCTACAAGCCTATCGTCTTTTAAACTATCTAAATTTAGGCTTATTATTACACAATCCAAAATAAAACAAAAAGTAAACTGTACACAGCTCCATTATTCTCATTCTGAATTAGTTTAACTCCAGTAGAGAATCGTTTGAGGTCTGCCGGCGTCACGACAAGTGTTTTGTCAAATCATCCTTGTGCGTTTATATTCACATTCATGCCTGCGGAAAACACTCTCTTTCATAATAAAAAAAGATGCTACTGGTGTATATTACCACCGATATATTTTCATTTAAGCACATTACATTTTCTGCACAACAGTGATTCACATGTTGTCTCTGTTTGACGATATCTTTCAGTAATTAACAGCTTAAACTAATTGCGCTGGAACAAACTGTTGAGTTGACACAGTACAAAATGGGTCAGGATACAAAGCTAATCACTGGCACCAATTGTTGGACTGACAGTGCTAATACTCAGTCAACTATTTATTTTATTACATACAGAACTTGGGCACGGATCTGCCACTTTGAACAAATTTCAGAAAAAAGGTGTGCCCTTGGCCAACTGCAAAGATAATAGACGCATTTCTACAGTATTGTGTTAAAACAAGTGTGACGTAAAATAAAGGCTGTCGTCCAGCATCACCTGTTTTTTCAGCCAATTTTGCTCCTGGCAAATATTTAATGTGGGAGTGGTGCATTACTGACAGGTGACGCAAATCAATCCTATTTGGCAGGAAATCCGCAGTCATGACTTCAAGCAAAGAATAAAAAGACAGCATTTGCTTTTTGGCACATGTGTCAGTCAATGAGGCACAGGTTGATTTTGACACACTTAGTCTGAATTGACAGCTATTCCTATATGTTTTGGTAAGAATCAGAATAATGGAGCTGTGGTTTAAAAATTTAGTGTAAAACAAATCGTAACTGCAAAGGTTACAAGCAGCTACTTTCGTTCAAAATGAAATATTCTGTTTAAAACGTGTCAGAACATTAAAATGTAAAGTAGTCATGTGTGATGTAAACTGCTAAAGCAGCGGAATTAAAGGAGAAACATTCAGAGCCCCGTTCTGTCAGACATGTAGTAGGTGCACCAGGTGAATAAATTAGTTTTTGTTTCTCTGGAGAGCCTCGCACAGGTTATGGTTCGGATCTGGCTCCTGACTCATGATCTCAACACACTCCCATTCTCCGCTACAGCTGGACCGCTTCACCGCCTCTACCACCGTCTGCACGTACAGACCGTCCTCAAATGTTGGTGCCATGGCAACCGGTCCTCGCGCCCACGACCGGCGCTCCTCGTGGGCCTGAAAAGACTGTCTCAACGCCTTCACCATGGAGCTCAGGCCCCGCAGGTGAGGCAGGGGCATCTCTTTCACTTCTGGTCCCACCCACCCACTGTCGCCTAGCAACAGCTCCTCACCTTTACTCCCATTGCGCTGACCGTACAGTTCTGTGCCCCTGGCGACCAGCCTCCCAGTGGATCCAACTACCATAACCTCGTGCACGAATGACCCCGGCATGTTGAAGTTCAGGGTCACGGTGCAACACACACCGCCAGAGCCAGTTCCACCCATCAACATCTGGAAGAAACAGAAGTCATCGCTCGTGACGCGGCGGATGCCACGGATCAAACTGTTTTGCTGCACAAAGGTCCGCAGCAAACCGTGCACCCGCTGGGCTCGAGCGCCCGTCAGGTAACTTAAAAGGTCGATGATGGCAGAGCCGACGGTGTGCAAGCCGCCTCCTCCCATCAGCTCCTCGCAGGTCCAGCCGTACGATTGGTCCAGGAGGCTCGGGCCATACACCCGGACGTCACACACCTGCAGCTCGCCCACATATCCCTCCACCAGCAGCTGGCGCATTGCAACAAAAGCTGGCAGGAAGCGCAGGGTATTACCCATAATGCTGAGCAGCTGTGGGTAGTATCTGGCCGCAGTCACCATCTTGAACGAATCCACAGCAGTAGCAGCTTTCTCACACACAACATTTTTACCTATACCTGCAGTAAGAGAGAAAGTTAACGCTTATTATCATTATTCAGACACTTCTGTGACTTTTGAAGTAAACCACTTTTTATACAGTTAATATTTAACATACACTCAGGTCCCACTTGCATTTATACTGGCCTGCATTTGTTTAAGCTATCTGTACTTCTTAAAATGACAACAGTGTGTATTCAGTATGATCTGAGAGACTTGGTGTCTTGGATCTCAGGCACAACAGGGAGTTGATGCTCTTAGATTGCACAGATTGCACTACTGTCCAGCTCCTGGTGTTTGATCTAAATAAACACAAAGTCCACATTCTCCTCCAACCGCATGTGACAGCCCAGAGGATGTGCATAGTTTCTATATATGCAGATTGGTGCTGAGCAGCTCTTGGAATTAGTGCTGTGGATAAGTCCTTCAGTGGGGAAACACTCAGGAAGTTGCAACTAAAACAGGAAACTGAGGTCAACACTCAGGAATTCCATCAGATACAGTAGGTTAACTTTTTACATCTACTCTCCTCTCGTACGACATAATATCTGCGTCAGTGTGTTGCTAACAGGGTTTCACGATTTTGTTTGACTTGATTGTGGATTTTTCTCCCAAAATGACCATGTTGCTGTGGTCGTGGCTATGAAGATGTTTACTCACATGCCTATAATAAACCCTGAGAAATATGTTACAGAAGAATGCAGACATATTTTGAGAATATGCATTTTTGGGAGACTTACAGTAAAAGTTTTCAAATATGTTTCAGATCTGATCTGTTGCGCTGGGTCAAACACGTTAGGAGTTTGTATAAACCAGATGCTAATCCAGAGTGAGTGGAAACTGGAATGAAAGACTTGAGTCTGGTGTTTTCAGATGAAGCTAAGCATATCTGAGTATCATCAGTCACATAAAGGGCTGGAAGTCAGAATTCTTTTCATTGTTGATAAACCTGTATATTTTCTCCGTTAGATGTTTGGTTTATATAAATGTCAGACCATAGTGAGAAGACGACATCCTCAAATGTCTTGTTTTGTCTACAACCCAAAGACATTAATTTTACTGTCATATTAGAGGAAAGAAACCCAGAAATATTTCCATTTACGAAAGGCACAATAAGAGAATTTAGACTTACTTTTCTTAAAAATTACTCAAACCAATCACTTGTCAAAACAGTTGGTGATTAATTTGATAGCTGACAATTAATTGATTAATCATTACATGTGTGCTCACACAAATATCAATTTCTGGTTTTTAATTAATACTCTCCAACATTACTGTATCATTTACACCTTGAGACATATTTTAAATCTATAAATGCAAGCTATACAAATGAAAAGAAAAGTGAACATCTTTGTAAAAGTGTTTGTGTTCAGAAGCTCTTACCCAGTGCCTTGACTGCAATCTGCCTCGTCATTGAGGGTGGAATATAAATGCAAACCAAATCAACATCTTGGTGCAGCAGGACGTCATCCGATTGGCTGGTGTGAAACGGGATGCCAAGCTCCTTTGCCAAGCAGCACGCTTCCTCCTCGCTTCGCCCCCAAAGTGCATGAACCTCAAAGCCTTCAGCTTTCAACAAAGGGACCAGCACTCGGGCTGTGCTCCCTGTGCCAAACACACCGACTCCTGGCAGCATGACAGTGCCACTCACTGTGAACTTACGTGTGAACCATGGCCTGCCTCACCAGCATCTCAACTGCAAACAATCCACTTGTTTGTCCAAGCCTGAGGTGCTGTCTGTAAAACCTACAAAAACGAAGGAACAGACTGTTAAAACTGGGCGACACTGACAAAATCCAACATCAATTTCAATAATGTAACAATAATATGTGTGACATTTATTCCTGCTTTCAACAAAATAAAAGTGAGTGACAACATATTAACTTCACAAAAACACTTTACCTGCTTTACTGTAATGCAGGATTTAAGATGAGAACAAGACACAATTAAACCAAAGTCAACTACCTGTCTCACAGCACGACATTTACTTCATCCATTTTTCTCCCAGCGTTAGTGAACATGTTAACAAACGGGACGAACGTGTCTGATGGTGTCCAGCCCAGTTCTGTCTATCAGCAGCCTCTGACAGCCACTTACATTGTGTCCTGCCACATACTTAACATGCCTTTCCCCACATGTTCCACACCCACCGAATGTCAACGTCATCCCTACCTCTAGCAAGTGCACCTCGTGTTGCTGTGCGTACAAACTGGTCCTAGTCAAACATACAAACCTGCACAACGAGCAGCTTAATCTAATAACGTTGAAGGTTTAAGTTAACGTTAAGTGCTCATCCACATAATAATTATTGTGTTGTTCAGCTCCCAACTGACTGTTCACCTTCCTGGTTTCCTAATCAAATCTCTCTAGACCTGTAACTGCCATTTGGATTTCAATAGCACATGTAATTGCTGTTATTACAGTTGGTCTGTAAGGTGGGAGTTCCTGCAAACAGTATTTCTTGAGAAGTGGAGTCCAGTTAGCTGTGAGCTTCATACAATGGGAGAAAGAGCAGCTCTGTCTTGGTTGAGCGTTAGTAAAGTGTTGCCTAAAGGAATTTCTGTCATGTATTATCATGAACATGTACTAGTGGGGGAAAAGTGATGTTAATGTTGGAGAAGTAGCTGGCAGGAGCTGACACGCCCTGTGGCCATGACTGCACTAGAAACTGATAAAGAAGTGTGTGTGCCTGTGCACCTGCGTTACCTGTGTAACCTTTGAGAAGCAAGTTCTCTTTTTTTTTTTTCCCAAACAGACAAACACACATTTTCCAGGCTGACAGCAGCTGGAGCCTCTCACACTACAGAGAAACCGAGCCGTGCTGTGTTGAGTCAGCTGGACAGATAACAAAGCCATGCCACACCAAATTGTCGCTGTCGAGGTCAGCAGTAGTTGAGGTAGTAGCCATAATTTTTTTAACGACACCACCAGCTTGCGTAAACCGGCCACTGCTTTGCTTAATACGAGCGTGTCTGCTACAGGTACACAAACACAGACACACACTGAGCTAGCTAGACAGAGAGGTTATTGATAACGTTAGCTAGCACCTTCAGCTAGCCGGCCAGACAGCCGCAAAGCGAACAGAAAACTCGCGATAAACGCAGGTACTTTACAGACTTCATATTGAAAGTTGAATCATCTGCCGGCATTTAAACGTGATATTAAAACAACACACTGCGAAATGTACAGATAAAATGAGCTACTTACTGTATTTGGCAGGACAACATCAGCGGCGGCGGAAGGTGTAGAGCCGGGCGCTGCCCAGTTGCTAATGGTAACTTCAGTAGCAACGGCAGGACTGTGGGAGAACCCGAGACTGTGAGGCGGTGGAGATGGGTCACCGGCGGAGGATTAACGGAGGGGTACACAGCGGTAGGCCGCCATACCCGAAAATATGGCTTCGACGTTTCGCCCGTAAACGCAAGTAGTTTGTTTTACCTATCAGTAACTGAAAAACTGCAGCCAGGAAATGTCCAATAAAAGATTACATAAAGTTGCATCATGGGAAATAAGTTTTTGAAGCTTGACCCATGTCATTTCCTCAATAATTTGGCATCTGTAGTATCGTTTTTGTTGCAGTAGTAGCTGTCTAATGTGTGGGTCCAAGCTTAACTTTACTACAGAGCTGCTCCGAGTCGACTACATATTAGCAAACAAACAAGCAAGCAAACAAACAAAAAACAACAACAACAAAAAAACCCGGACACATTTCACTCTAGTGCATTCAATGCATTCAAACCTGTGTGTTATTAATATTTTTAAACATATGTATGCAATTTCATTTCAATTTTATTTTCAGATTTATTTAATATCAGTGTTTTTCTACATATAGAATAATTCTGTGCAATATACTTAGTGTCCACATTCAGTGGAATCTGTGTATATGAATTTTCACACATTGACAAATCTGTACAATATCAAGAGCACCTATGCATATTCCTTGTTATTTTATTTTATTTTAATTTTTTTTTTACTGAGGTCTCTATATTCATTCACTCTCCAGTTTGCTGCTGTAACACTGCAAATGTCCTCACTGTAGGATGAATAAACACTTGTCGAATCTTATTTTTTCTTAGAACCCTTTTAAAACAGAATCCCTCCATTTTGGCTTTTGGTTGGTTCAGCTCATTTTAAAACATGAAGATGTGCCGTTGGCATTGACTTTGGTGTCTTGTTGAACCTCAGACACACCAAATATGATTCACAGTGGTGGAGTGCTTCCTGCCAAAGTATTGTTTTTAAATGTGTGTAACTAATAGCAGTATGTCTGTGGGGATCGCTTTCCCCTCGTGATTTAATGTGCTACTTGTACACAGCACAGACATCCCTTCAAAAAGTAACTTCACACAAGCTATTTTTTGTTTTTGTTCTTGTTTATTGCATTTCTAAATATTTTTTTTCTTAACATTCAGAATCAGAATTAGCTTTGTTGTGTACAGAGACGAGGGACTTGACTCAGTTGTTTCTTTGCTCTGAAAGTACTTACACAAAAAACACACACGCATGTAAACAACAGGTTAAAGAATGGGAAACAAGTGATTAATGGACAGCTACAGATATGTATAAAGAACAATGTCTAAAAGTTAACCAAAAGCTTATTGCAAATTGTGCAGATTGTAATGATACAGGAATAAATTATGGCTAAAAATAAATACAGGGCTTTTGACATTCAATATACATGAGGTATGCTGATGATAATCTAATTGTACCTCAAACTAATAATAGTTTACAATAGAATAGGTTACATAAGAATATATTTAAATAGGTCAATATGAATTTTCCAGAGTCTAGCTTTGAGGCAGGTTAACTTGAAGTCCAAGTGCTAAGTGAGAAAGTGAGAGGAGTGCCCAGGCCTTGTGTCGGCCCTCACTTGTATGCCACTGTTCTGTTTTTATGACTTCTATATGTTTGTGTGTAAGGCCTCAAAACTAAACACTGATGACATTTGATTAATTGATTAAAGGGATATTGTACAGTAAGCCACAGTGAATATGAGTTATGTTCTGACAAACAGATTCTCTGGTAGTTCTGTCAAACTAATTTATTTTTGTTAAAATCTGACTGCTCAAATTTTACTTTGGTATTTTCTTTTAGAATTTTTCTTTTGAGCTAAGTTCATTTTTTTCAAGTAGGAATGTTACAGTATAGGCGCAACCTATGTGCATCCATAGATAATATCCAGATGTTTCTCTAAGGTGCAGTAATGGTTGTGTGATAATGACTGGAAAGATGATGTAAAATGTAAAAATCCACAGCCCGTCTTCAATGGGAGACTTCTGAGCTGTTACTTCTCCATGTTTGCCACCACAGGCTTCAGTCCCTGAATAGAGGAATCTACAAGGCCATCAGGTGGCTGTTAAAGGTTACTACCAGCTGGAGACATGCATGGCTGCACCGTGTGCTGTTTTTGACAGGAACAATGACAACAAATCTGAAGAAACAGATTCTGGATTCAAATTAAATAAGTGTCAGAATTCCATTTCAAACCTTCTGAAAGTCTATCACATGAAATATGCACACATGCTGTATTATCTGTGGATGCTTGATATATATATTTTTTGATATAAAAAATATATATATACACAAGTCCTTAACGTGATGACTTATATGTGTATACAGAAATCATAAATCGACTTTAATCTGGCTTTTAAATAACATATACCCCCTTTTAGCTGAATATAATCATTTAAATGTCTATATAGTATTCAAGATCAAACCTACACTGACCTGTATCTAAAAAAATACATTCATCATGCAGGTTAAAGCTAACCATGTTAGTAGTGGGACCATCTAAACAAAAATAGTGTGGGTTATTCTACAAATGTACCTTTGATTGCATTATTCAGATATTCTGCAGGATCCTTGTAAACAGGAGTTTTTACTTACAGTACAGGTTTAAAATCTGCAAGTGTTACTAAAACCACCTGTATGTGTTTATAAAAATATGTTTATCATTCACAGAAAATAATATCCTGTTTGCTTCAATGTAAATAGATAATTGTGTATTTTCCATGGGAGGAGATTGTTTTAAAATATATGCCTGTTGAATGAAGTTAGTGTTTTGAAGCATTTTGACACTGTTTTCTTAATGTTTGTATTTTAACTACATCAAAAGATTTGGCGCTGGACCTCAGAACTGTTTCCACCTCTGACCAGCAGGGGCGCCATATTACTGACGGACTCGGAAAGGAAGCGCAAAGCATTGTGGGACTTTTAGTTCTCAGTGGGAGACGGTTGGTTTGAAAACAGAGCGAAGAACAAAACAAGACGTTTACCGCCGAAAATCAAAAGCAAGCCCTGGATTCAGCATAACTACGAGCTCCATCTGCTGCGAGTTCGGATGAATTCGGGTGGATTCGGTCGTCGTACGAAGCAGAGCGGCTCACTTTGGTGAAAAATAAACAGGAAGCTGTTAGCGTTGTGGGACGTGTAGTTCCGCCTGCAGGCCGCCGAGCTTGATAACAGCGCACAGAATAAAGAAACAACAATAAAATAAAACAAACTTAATCTGGCGAGCGTGTTGTGGGCCTCGGCGCTGCGGTAAACATGCCCGGGTTCACCTGCTGTGTCCCTGGCTGCTACAACAACTCGCACCGGGACCGGGACCTGCGCTTCTACACGTTTCCAAAGGACAGCACGCTGCGGGAGCTGTGGCTCAGGAACATCTCCCGGGCCGGGGTCAGCGGCTGCTTCAGCACCTTCCAGCCCACCACAGGACACCGGGTCTGCAGCGTGCACTTCGCCGGCGGGAGGAAGACCTACAGCATCCGAGTGCCGTCCCTCTTCCCTCTGCGGGGGGTCAACGAGCGCAGGAGTCGGCGGGGCAGAGGCAGGAAAGTGTCCGCGGCGGTTCCTGCCCCCGCCGCTGCAGCGACCTCCGGGATTGTCGTCACCAGCGTGCTGGGCAGCACGGCAGAGGGAGCCGAGGGCAACGCCGGCGGCGAGGCGAGCGATGACAGCATCACCGTGGTTCAGATAGGCCAGAACGGGGAGTACCTGGGCACGGCGCGGCTACCCGCCCAGTCAGAGGGGACTTGTTACACGGCGCCGATCGGCGGCGCGGACGAGCTGACAGCCGACGACTCGTCGGTGGAGACCGGCTCCACCGTGCACCAGCCGCCCGTGCAGTACGTCAGCGTGACCAGCAGCCCGCTGGACCACTCGTACTCTCTGACCACCGGCACCACGTCGGCCGAGCTGCTGCGGAAACTGAACGAGCAGCGGGACATCATCGCGCTGATGGAGGTGAAGATGAAGGAGATGAAGGCGACCATCCGCCAGCTGCGGGTGACCGAGGCCAAGCTGCAGGAGGAGGTGCGGGAACGGGACCGGCTGCTGTACGGCCACTCGGTGGCTGTTAGCATCCGGAAGAAAATGTGATGCGACGGGTGAACACACCTGGAGAGCCGCGATAGAGACTCGGACTGACGGAGGAGGCAGCGTGGCTTGAAGACAGCAGATCCAGCCGTTTTTTGTATTAAACTCCGAGCGATGACAATTTATTTTCAACAAGTAGAGCTCATTTTTCGTAGGCCTGATGTAAAAAAAAAAAACTGGCTGGCTAGTTTATGTAGCTGATAGTAATAAACTCATTGCTAATCACGTTGAACTCAGCCGACCCCAGGTTCATAACACACATTGTAGTTTGCACAGATCTGTGACTCCACATTAGGCAGGCTGCGTATTTATACCCGGACTGAAGGGACGCTGACAGGAAGATGCTCCAAACTGCCTAGTTGCATACAACATTTTCTCCTTAAGGTTTTTCATATGTTTGTATTTCTTTACTTTTCAATCCAAGTCAGGAGGTTGTTGCAAAAACATCTCACAAAAAAAACATTGCAAACAGTGTTAAGTGCGCCAAGATGAGGAATCCATGGGATGTTTTTATTTTTTGCAACCAAAACACTATTCTTGGCACACTTGTGATTTTAGTCAGTCAAACAAAACTCTACAATGACTGTATCAGAGTTGCCTTTAAAGGTAGTTTAAGTAGCTTTCCTTTGTTTTTGTTGCTAAAAACATTTGTGCATCAGAAAAAGGAATTCCTTTAAGCTTTAAAGGGCACTGAGATGATGAATTGTTATTAAAGGACGTTTCTTTGAGACGCGCATTAAGTTACATTTGAGCAACTGTTATTTTCTCTTAGGAAATCTTCATAGAAGTACGTAGAAAAACACATTCTCAAGGTACTTTATGCAACTGGAACATGTAATGTTTGTCTCGGAGGTTGTTTTGTGAAGCAGCGGCTGCTTGTTTCTGTGTGATTCAACAACTCGATGTGCCTGTTCATGGTCAGATGTTTTCTCCACACAGAGGTTTCGTGGTTGCAGCTTTCTGTCCTGTTCATGAGTGTTTTATGCTACAGGATGCTACACACATTTCAGACTTTTTAACTCGGTCCGACTGCTATGCTCTACTCTCAGTTTTAAGTAAATTTCATCATGAAATATTCTCCTCGAGCAATTTCTCAAGTCGTTATTTTGTCCAGTGTCCCAGTTACAAAATGGAAACGTGCTGTGGGTGACGAGATCCTGCAGTGCTTGTTTGGTTTTTACCTTCAGGTTTACAGGGGTTTGGCTCAGAGACTCCCTGGACTGCTGTGAGGGTTCGTTTTTGTCTGTTTTAGGAAAGACGAGCTACAGATTTGCAGTGGCTGCAGTATTTTTTCAGCTGTGTTGAGTTGTGGAAAAAGTAATAAAAATTTGTACCATATGAATCCTTTGATCATAAAGATTTGTGATGGAAACCAAACATGAACACAAATGATCATATTAAAGAGCTGTTTTGTACACCTGTTCAGTGACACCTGATATAAACTTGTGCTTAAAGCAACACTTCACACGTTTGTCAGTGAAAGCATTACACAGATGATGTCGCCTTAAAGAGTCCTTATTGTGCTTTTTATAGGTTTCCCTTTTCTTCAGTGTGTTGTAGCTGTTTCATGCATGTAAAAGGTCTGCAAACACACAAAGCCGAAAGTCTTTGCTAAAGTTATACATTTGTTCCTACAGAAGCACGCCTCCTTATCTGTCTGAAGCACTTTGTTTGAAGTCCAGACCTTCCTTCTGTTGCTTATCTACATCACCATGTAACACATTTGCATAACGCCGGCCTGGTGGGTAGTTTAACACATCCTCAAACAAAGAATGAGTCCCTGCCTTGTAGTCTGCCCGTATAGATAGATAGATAGATAGGTAGACAGATAGACATTTATTGTCATATACGCAGCATAAAGAACAGCAGTTTAACACTAGGCAATGAAATTGTCTTGTTTCCACAGTCCCATATACATCATAAAGAATATAAATTATATATAAAAACAAACAAAATAATAAAACAGTAATAGAAATAGATACAAAGAATAAAAAGAGACAGAAACTAAGGTGCATTTATCTCACTAGAGCTGCTTCTGCTAGATCTACATCCCAGTTAGCGGCTCATACAATTGTCCTCAAAATTATTCACACCCTTCCATTAAAGAAAAGGTAATAATAAATAACAATTTGCTAAATTATAATTTAGTGAAATAAGACATTGCTTTTGGATTGGGGTTGAAAAAAATAATTAAAAACAAACAAACAAAAAGAACCCCTCAGAACTATTCCAGACAAATTAGAGCACTTTGCTAATGAGCTGTGAAATCTAAACACATGTCAACAGGTGCAGAAGTCTGACTGAGAGTTACAGAAAACACTTGATTGCAGGGATTGCCTCAAAGGACTGTTGAACTAAATATTAGTTTATGGGTCCATCATGCTTGTAGTTTTTGTTTAAAAAAAAAATAAAAAATTCTGCTAAACCACAATTCAGAAGCAATGACATGATTTCATAATTTTTTTTTACTTATTATTACTTTTGCTTTTTTTTTTTTAAGATTCTTTTTTCTGGTCTTTTTTGCCTTTATTTGTCAGGACAGTGAGAGAGTAAGGGGGGGAGGACCTGCAGCAAACTCAAACCGCTGCATCAGGGAATCACAGCCCCTGTTCATGGGTCACCTGCTCAACCAGGTGAGTTATAGGGGCGTCCACATTTGTCAATTTCAACTTCTTCAGCTGTGACTGGAGCATCACATATGGTCTTAAAATCCTCATCAATTATTTTAGTGTCCGCCACAGAGTTTAAAAAAATGTTCCAGTTCCACTGGTGATAAATTAGATTAATATGGGGAACTGTAAAATGTTTCACTTAACTTTGCCCTTCAGATAGATTTTCTGGCAGAATATAAGTTAATGAGATTAGTTAAGAAGATATTTTCATCCTTTATGTTGTTTTTTTTGTCCTTCTGTGCCTTTTTTCATGAGGATTTTCCTTCATTCATATTTTAGTAGCTCCCAGTAACGTCCATCATGTTTTTTTCAAGCTCTGCCCATTTTAGATGCTCTGCATTTTCCTTTTAATGACCAAACATAATGAGCTGTTGCGCAGGAGTCAGTTATTCAGCTTCCAATATCCAGGAGTTCTTCTGTTGATTCTTTCAGAGGACATATGCACACACAGCTGGACGGCTTTATGATCTGTTAAAGGTGC